TTTTTTTTTTTTATTTTTCTAAATTTTTCTTGGTTCTCTTAGGATTATCGCACTGTCCTTCCGCCACGATGCTTGCCGTACAAAGCCGGCAGCCGAGCTTCTCCCGGGCATCCATGATGTGTATGCGGGAGCCGAGTTCCGCTTCTCGATCTCTTGCACTTTTTACTTGGCAGCTTCTCTGCCAGCCGTTGAGCAGCCAAGTTACTACCTGCAAGTCGAGCATCACTGTGATCTCGTTGAACAACTGAGGCGAATGGGATATATCGCGAATATGAGCTGATGAGCTTTTTGAGTGAGCGCTTTTTAGAGCGGAGGCAACAAGTGGTCAGATGAAAACAACGACGATACAAATGGTTCATCGTGCAACCTCTCTGGAGAAATGCTGGCAAGTGCGCTTGCGAGAATGCGCACCGCGGAGTGCCGGTCAGCAGCACGCCGTATCGTCTGCAGCATTGACCAGCAGACGCCTGATTCACTGCCCAACTCATGCCCCGCATACGGTTTCTCATCACTTCCTCATATCAATTTTCACTCACTGCGAACTGCGTGGTACGAAATTGAACTGAACCCTTCGATGGCCAGCGGTTGCATAGGGTTATTGTAGCCGCTTGTAATTTAGTAGTTTCCGGTCCGGACTGTTTCCACGCTGTACTTTGGGTATTTGGCCAAGTGCATTCTTTCCACCAGTAGCAATCCCATGCCAGACGGTAATTGATTCTGCACGTCAAATCGAAATTAACTGACTTTTTTTTGGCAGAATTTCAACGCAAACAGAAAAACATGTGATAGAATAGAGCGTTGGAATGCTGTGCTGCGGACTGGTAGATGACGGTGCTGATTAGAAAATATGCGGAATTTATTGGAAATTGGCTGCCCAACACATTTTTCCAGTTCATTGCAAATGGCGGCCGAGAATTGCGCGATGCAGTGGGAGCCCAGGCTTATCTCAACTTGATTTTCGTTTAGTGAATTTGTTCCCGGATGTGAGCGGTTGTTACTTGCTGTGATACATTGAACGGCCGCGATTCCATCGTTGCATTCCTCTGGCCTTCGACGGCTTGCTCGCCACATTAAAAGTTTCTGGTTGCGCCCCTAATCTTTGATTTAAATACTTGACGCTCTTGCTGCTTTAAACTCGTCCTTCACTGCAGATGATACGCAGCATACAGAATATGTTGGATGCTTCCGGGATTCACCGAATCATCGAGTACTCAGTGGACATTATTACAAGTTCAGAACATACAATTCACCTACTTACTGTGTTAATATGTGCCTTCGAGCCGGCTACAGATATGCGGGTATGCTGCATTTTGCTGACTTTCCCAGGCTGTCTTTGAGAAGTCGAAAAAATTCTCTTACAGGAGTTGAATTTTACGATGAGTGCTTCTGTGGCGACGTTTTCGTGTCGAGCGTGATCTCACTTCCTGAAAGTGCTTGTCTCCAGTACGTGTGCAATAATAGGAGTTTGTTCTGTGGTGGTTATAATGCAGTGGCAGTGTATAAAACTGGCGTCACTGGTAGGCATATAAAATTCAATCCTGCTTATTATTCTTTGTGTGACCAAAATTGCTTTAAAAATTTCTCACTGCTGATTTGCACTTCCCTACACAGTGTCGTTTCATTTGGTATGGAAGTTAAGCGAAACATTTCTTTCTTTTTTCAGCGAAGCCTCTGTTAATAGTGAACTATACAGAATCGGACGACAGTCTCAATAACGTGCAGATTTTGTTTCTTCTGCAGTTGAATGGGCGAAATACTCGACAAGTAAGTAGATTGTCAGTTTCATAAAAATCCTTTTTTTTTTCAAATAGGTTGTCACTGGTATTAGCTTGGAATGCTAGAATTAACTGTAAGTCATAATCTGCTCCTCCATCAGTTCAGCTGATGACTTTTTCAGTTGTTTTGAGACCAATACTGGTTGTTAACCTTTTAATGGTTATGAAATTTGTCTTTTTCTTCAAAAAGTTGG